TTTATTTATTTGTTATGTATACAGTGTTCTGCCTGCACGTATGTCTGCAGGCCAGAAGAGGGCACCAGATCTCATTACAGATGGTTGTGAGTTACCATGTGGTGGCTGGGAATTGAACTGAGGACCTCTGGAAGAGCAGTCAGTGCTCTTAACCTCCTCCGAGCCATCTCTCCAGTCCCCTAATGGGATTCTTTATAGTTTAGCTTGAATTAATTTATCAATACATTGGGCCTATTGTGTTATCGGTAAGTGAACTACCCAGAAACAAACCAAACATATCCAAGATTCTTTTTCCATTTGTAAGATAAGAATAATGACATCAGCTCCTATAGAGACGGGGACCTCACTATTCTATATAAATGCTCACCCTTAAGGCATCTGTATGAGTTCCAGTGTGGGGCTGAGTTCCACTAAACTGACAATCTATGAGTGCAGATGACTCATTGTCCTCTGCATATGACAAATAATTAGTAGTACAGTTATGCTACACAGCTGGCTTGAGTGGTCAAAGAGAGCTGGGATTAATTTATGGCCTCCCATCATCCCTAGGACTCAAATGTCAGCAACGGGAGTGCTGGAGGTCAGATTTCAGCATGTAAAGATGAGACGGCATGGAGTATTCATCTGGAGAGTCCCTGGGATGAACAGGGCCAGAAAGGGCTTGACTTGTGGGTTTTGAAAATGTACTTCAAGGTTAAAGAGAATCATAACTCAGAGCAGATTGGCGAGCCTCTATCTTAAAGGTAAAAGCATGTTTGGATACAAAGCAAAGCAAGAGTAGTCTGGAACCACAGTGTTAATGGCCACCACCACCCAGAGTCCAGTCCATCATTTGTGTCCTCAACCCATCACAGAAGAAGCTAGACTTCTTAAGAAAGCCCAGGGGGGGGACAGAAGAGATATAAGAGATATTTTGCCTCCAATTTTTTCTCTTTCCATCAACAGGCACCCACAAAATGCATGATCAGTACCAAAACTGTGGCCACTCTTTAAAGATGCAGAGTAGAGACAGCATCCCTCCACTGACCAATGCTTCTCCATCAGCATACTAAGCAAATATTCATTCTGCTGAGCAGAAGTTCATTTCTGATTTTTCAGACTTAGCAAAGTGTCATATTCAGAGGACAATGAGTCATCTGCACTCATAGATTGTCAGTTTAGTGGAACTCAGTCCCACATTGGAACTCATACAGATGCCTTAAGGGTGAGCATTCATATAGCATAGTGAGGTCCCCATCTCTATAGAAGCTGATGTCATTATTCTTATCTTACAAATGGAAAAAGAATCTTGGATATGTTTGGTTTGTTTTGGGGTAGTTGGGAGGTAGAGACAGGAGGATCAGGAGTTCAAGGTCAGCTTAGGCTACAGAGTTAATTCAAGACCACCCTGAGCTATTTGAGACCCTGCTTTGAGAAGGAGGTGGGGGGCAGAATCTCTGTTTGGAGAAAGTCCCATTATCATTGTATGCATTGAAAAAAAACTTATCATATGGGTCTTAGTTGTTTCAGTGTAGGACAAAAATGAAATGAGGCATGATGGGAAGCAGTCAGATACCTTTGAGGCTTACTGATGTCATTTGGGGGAAGAGGAAATGGGGAGACAAAGAAAAGAAGGAAGAATATTAAAATAGGAGAGTGTCAAGTAGAAGGCTGAGTGTGCCTGTGTGTATATTGTACTGATATTAATATTTGAGTTTTTTATTTACATTATTCTATCAGTGGAAGAGTGAAGCTCAAGTGAACTTCAGTGGCCCTGCTGAAGAGAGAGAGGCAGAGCCGGGACCAGGACAATGGCACTCTCTCCTCCTCCATTGTATCCTACGGAGCTGGCTGTTCTCAGATAATCTTTTCTAGCTAAACCGAGAGACATGAACACAGTACTTCCTGGGCACACAGAGTAATCAAGAGGGAAAATGCACATGGCAGAAGTACCTGAGACAAATGACATGGACAAGGTTGAGCCCCTGATAGGCACAGGGCTGTGTTTCTATTCTGCTTCATGCAGAGATATGTTTGCTTTCCGCGTTTTATGCCATGATCAGTAAGAGGGATCATCTAAGGTATTAGGGTCATTTTTTCATTTTACAGATTTTTATTTTTTAAGATAAATCTACATTACACCCAGTGTGTTGGGGAAAATTGTCTACAACTGTTGGAGACAATGGAGAGCACAGTGTACTTATGAACTGTTGGTGACTGATAGATGACTCCACCCCCCTTCTGGCGAAGACCAGGAATAGTATGTTCTTAACAGTTTAATAACTAACTGCTACATCTACTTTGTAAAAATATATCTGAGACAGCTAAAGAGCCACACAGCTTGAGACCCAGATAGTTCTGTTTCCAAAAGAGTGGAACTATTGCACTTCTGAAAAATGCCAATATTATGGTTTGTAACACTAATGCTTATAAGAGGATTATTTTTCATTATGGACTCAAATAAAAATTAAGTTGTTATGTAACTTTAACAGAAATGGAACACTATTAATCAGTGAAAATGAGACAGTCACAGCTGTACACTTCAAGTCATTGGCTCCAGTTCACAAACATCGAGTCACTGTGTAGGACTCTTGTAGAGTTCTGGCTTACCTGTGTATATCATGAGTCTTACTTACGGCCCCCTTACCTCTGACGTGTACAGTGTGCTTTGCTGGCATGTAGGAAGAGCTGAGGAAAATGTCAGAATTGGTATGTTAGCATTCCTGTGACAGACAAAATCCCACTTATGGGCAAAATTAATGGCAACATCTTCAGGTGACATTTATGAACTTGCTTGAAGAATTGTCAGTTTTCTAAAACAGCGGTGGTTGGCTTTTCCTCTCCTCTTTCAAGTCTGGCAAGCATGAGACCTGGCACTAAGGGACTGGGGTATATACTATTTCCTCTTGTCATCTGAGGACATGCCAGCACTCTTTGCTTTGTTAAGCTGAGTCTGGTCTTGCCTTGTAGCTACACGCATGAACACGAACATCAATGTGTCTGGGGGCTCATATTCTTTTTTTTAAATTTATTTCTTTATTAATTAATTTTTTTATTTATTTTACATCCTGACCACAGCTTCACCTCCCTCCTCTCCTCTCATTCCCTCCCCCTGCCTTTTAGTTCCCCTATCCACTCCTCTGTTTCTGATCAGAAAGGGGTGGGCCTAACATGGGTATCAATAAAGCATGACATATCAAGTTGAGGTAAGACTAAGCTCCTTCATTTGTGGGGCTCATATTCTATTGAATTGCTACCAATTGGAGTCAGCTATAGATATGAAGAGAAGCATAGAAATTCACACCTTTTGAAAATGTGAGCCTGGCGTTGGTGGCGCACGCCTTTAATCCCAGCACTTGGGAGGCAGAGGCAGGCGGATCTCTGTGAGTTTGAGGCCAGCCTGGGCTACCAAGTGAGCTCCAGGAAAGGCACAAAGCTACACAGAGAAACCCTGTCTCGAAAAACCAAAAAAAAAAAAAAAAGAAAAGAAAATGTGAGCTGGATGATACATGAATGCAGAGGATCTCAAAGAACGCCACACAAAAGGGGATTGTGACAATAGAACACAAGGCATCCAAACAGCAATATGCACTTCTAATCACAAAAGTGGTGTGACCAGGCCTGCTCACCCACATCTGCACTTTGCACCTTACTCTAATGTTCTACTTCATTTCGTGGTACAGTCAACGCCAGTGTAAGCTCCAGGTGCTAAGAGAAGTCTATCTAATTACACGAGCCATGCTATATCCCAAGGATTGTGCTATTGACAGAAGCCTCTGGTCTAATTAAGAGAAAGTTGACCTTTTCCTAGCACCAGTGAAACCAACTGAAGGCATATCTGCTTTTTGTTGTCTCCACAGAAGCCCAAGGACCTTACAGCTGGCTTTATAATTGAAAATACTTGCAGGTTATCTGAGAACTAGACAGTGCCACCATCACTGGTTATGCTACCGACATCCAAGCTCTTGACTGTTAAAACTGGTATCCCCTTACAAGGAGCCAATGTATCATTTCTGTTAAATGACTGAGAAAAAAAATGAGCCACAAATTTTCTCTGATTTTAAAGAATTTGTGGGGAATGCTAAAAGAGGTGGAGTGCCATTCCAGAATATTTTAGGTACCAAGAACATAGTTGGTAAGAATAGACAAAAATTCTAAAACTGACATAAAAGTGATGATGCACCTAACACATGTGTTGAGCACATTCAAATGAGCCTATGTTTGGGAGAATAGGAAATGAAGGAGAGATGTGGTCTCTGCTTTAGTGGGGAGCAGTTTATACAGGGAAGCCATGATGATGGAGAATTCTAATGGACCCTAGAGATGTCCTAGGAAAAGTATACCATGTCAACTGCTGTGGTGTGAGAGGTCACACATGTGGAATTGCTCAGATTGTAAAGGATGGGGAAGCATGTTCAAGGAAGGTGGGATAGCACTGTGGGAAAGGCTCAGAGATGAGAACCATAGGTTATTCTGCAAGGGCCCAGGAAGTAATCCCATAGGTATGGTATGGGATGGGATGGATGCTCTTGGTATCAATAGAAGGCTATTGCAGTAGTCCAAGCAAGAGTTGATGGGGGCCGTTCTTTGCAAAGAGCTAGGAGGAGAAATGGGTATATTCAAGACATGTTTTGGAGATAGAATTTTGAGTTAGAAAAGGGTGCTCCTTGGCAGGAGTAGGGGAAGTTTGGGAATGGCATTGAAAATAAGAGCAGATTTCAACACTATCATTTTGTCATGCCGAGGACCTCTCTAAGGGAAAGGGTCTACTGAATAATTGAACACAGGTCTGGGGGCAAGCAAGGGGGCAAGATCAGGAGAAGGGAATTTGGGAATTATTGACATGGGGAGGGCATTTGACCCTGAGATAAATGAGATCAGGCCTTCAATGACAGGAAGGGGCCCGTAAGATGAACTCAGATACCACCATCATGTAGGGCTGTTCTGGGAGGGAAGTCCAAGAAAGAGACTTAGGAGAGGTAGGTAATTAAGAGAACAATTAAAATTAGACATTGTGTAATAAATCAAGCAAAAGCTGAAACCACATCAAATAACTACCACAGATAGAGGCCAGATGGAATAGCTTATTATCTTTTCTCAAATGTGATTTTTCCCTCCTACTCGAAAATTGCTGCAAGAAAGAGTATTGGATCAGATGGGGACTTAAGCAGCAAATAGCCTCTTCAGGGCTACAAAGGAATGGTCCTAATCTCTGAAGGTCAAAGAATGAGAAGTTATTGAAGGTACAAAACAGGACACCTTGAAAAATGAGGCAGGAGAAGGGAAGTAGGGCTTGTGATGATCCGAGGTTCACAGCCTAGCAATCATACAGAGAACTGCTATTTACTAGGCTCTTGCTATGTTCCTGGCTCTGTTTCAAGTTTAGACACCAACACTGTCCAGTCCAAATCCATTGTTCACCAGTGGTGCTGTGTCAGTCCAAGTCCAGTTGCCCCCACCTCACGGCCCTTCTCTTCTACCACTGATGTGGACACTCCCAGTAAATATTATAAATCAAGGCACCATCTCAACTCTGGGCATGCATGAGGAGAGCCATGACTATTGGGCAGAATGGTTAGAGTCAAGTTGTTATGGCGGCAGGGGCTTGGGCTTTGGAGTTGCCCTTAGCTTCCGTGGCCAAGGAATTCTGTCTCTCTGGACTTCATTTTTACCATCTGAAGAATGAGTGAAATAATGTTCTGGATTCAGTGTGGCTCTAACCTTGGGTGTGATGGGTGGAAATAAGTTTTCCACATAGGAAGAGAAGTAACGATGGGGAAAGTAGACAGAAGAATAGATGTGCAAATGTACTTCTGAGAGGGATAGTGTGGTTGCTGGAGGGCATCTGATGGGGATGTGATGTATAAGGGCGAGGGCTAGGAACTGAGGTCACAGCCATTAACCAGGGTTGCATAGCAGCAACTCAGAGTCCTAACTATGCAAGCTCTACATGTTGAGGAAGCCACTACTAATTTTTATCAAGCGACCTTGATCAAGGAATCACCTTCGATTCTTCAACTCCTCAGTGAAGTTGATGTCACAATCAACTGATCATGCGATCACAGTAGCATTCTCAACATCTGCTCACTTACACTGTACTGTTCAAGTGGGCTTTGACACAGTTGTGAACTGAGAACAGCTAGAGATGACCCACTTTTCCTGAAAAATTGATCAGCATCCACCCCATTCAGTTAATATTCAAGTTTTTACAGTTCTCAGTTGCCTGTAACATCCAATCATTTATAAATAGCAGAAAGATTTGATTAGATTCCGAGGCAGATGGTAATGTCCTTGTTTTCCTTGAGACCTATCACTGGGCTTCAGAGTAGACGGTCTAACATTTCCTGTTTCTCAGAAGTCTTGTGAGTCACTATCTAAGATCTAAGAGGGTACATGTCTGCTAACATGAGAACTAACAGGTATTCCTCCCTTCTTACCTGGTGATGTCAGGTGGACTCCTCTGAGGGTTTTGGTTTTGTGATGGGTGAGAAGGTCCTGGCTTTGTCTGGTGATAAGATCCTGGAAAGTATGACATACATGGGTCAGATTGCACAGTGCATACACTTGAAGACTTTCAGGAGTACACTGGGATGGCTATGATTTAAGTACTCTCATTATCATTACAGGGGACTTTTGGAAACTATAAACTCATATAGTCCACAGCTTCCCGTTCCCCCAGGAGTACCACTTTCTCAAGGCTGTAAAAATTGCATAGATTGTTTACAATCTAGAGCACACATGACTGGATTTTTCCAGTGAGACAGAATATTTCATCAGAAGGCATTTTAGGGGTAATTATAGATAAATTACTTTTAAAAGACTTTGGCTTTATCATGTACCCATACACCCATTTATTTGTTTGTTGGTTTATTCATACAATTCAATGTGTATTTGTATAATGCTTATGGAATAGGTTCTCTGCTATAGCATGGAGTTACAGTGAAGAGAGGTATGTGGTTCTTAAATAAAAGAAGACAGCAAGCAAGCAGAGCAAGAAGGAAGTTTTGGACAGAATGGGTGACATAAAGAAAATAAAGTATGCTTTAGGATACAGGGTTGACCTTGTGTAGCTAATGAGGGCCTTCTGAGAGCTGACTGGTGAATGACATCCTGATCAGGAGAGTGTTAAACCAAAGGACTGCTGTGGGCCAGCAGGGTTTAGGGATGTCTACTGCCTGCACAAGCCATTTGTGTTCTTATTCCCATCTTGTGATAGAGCAGATGAGCTTCCAAGGTTCTGATGTAGGCCAGCTGGGAACAAGCAGGGATCCATTTTCTCAATGCTTTCTCCTTGATCATTGTCTTAGATAAACTTAACTGTCAACTTTACACATCCTTCAGTTGCCTAGAACAGATATACATGTCACTGGGGGATTATCTTGATAATTAATTGATGCAGGTGGGCTTAGCCCACTGTGGGCAGCACCAACACCAGGAAGGTGTGCCTGGGCTATCTAAAAATGCTAGCTAAGCATAAGCCTGGGGGTGGGGTGGGGGTCAGCAAGCAGCATTCTTTCATGGTTCTTGCCTCTAGGTTCCTACCTTGATTTCCTGCCCTGATTTGCCTCAATGAGTGACCGTGACCTTAAAGTGTGAGCTAAATGCCCCCTGCCAAGTTGGTTTGGGCCAGAATGTTTATGCACAGTAACAAAAGTCAATAGAAAAAAAAAGAATCAAGTTCAGTCATACCTCCACATTGGAGTTACTTAGCATGCCATTACTGTTCCTGCTTTTCATCATAGATGGATTTTTAACCAGCCATTGATACTTAGGAAGGACATTGAATATACTCTGATGTGAGACTCATGAAGCACTATTCCTATTGTGATGGTGAGCCATAAAGCCATGGAAGCATGCACACATTGGCTGTCTTGCCTTAATATGGGCTGTTACTCTGTGCTCTGCCCAAGGTTGACCACAGACTGGACACCTCCAATCGAATGGACTGTGATTACTTGCAATGACATTTGAGTCAGTGATAGGTCCATTAATCACACACCCATGAAAAAAATCACTTCTTGTAATCAATAGCTACTTGGAGCATCTGCCCCTCGGGAGCATAACAATGCCCCACTGTTACATTACTACATCAAAGCCTGTTGCAAGGTTACCTGGATGTCTTAGTACATTAAGAGTCACTGTAGATTTCATTTGGTTTCACAGTTATTTCAGTTGCTAACAAGTCCCCAGTTCTCTTTCAGGGCCCTTGGAATTCACAGACCTGGGTAGGCCCCTCTTCCAAGTGTTTTAACGTCTTCACTGCATAGGGCACAGCCAACTTGAGACCCACAGAGGAAATACAACTCAGACTCACATAATTTTATTTCAACTTGACACATGCTAGAGAGAACCTCAGTTGATAAAGTGCCCCCCCCAGATTGACCTTTGGGGGCATTTTCTTGATTAATGATTGATTTGGGAGGTCCCAGATCACTGTGAGAAGTGCCTTCACCTGGACTGGTGGTCCTGGGTGTTATAAGAAAGAAGGCTGAGTAAGCCATAAGGAGAAAACCAATAAGCAGCACCCTTCCATGGCCTCTGCATCAGCTCCTGCCTCCAGGTTCCTTCCTTGGTTGAGTTCCTGTCCTGACTTCCCTCAGGAATAGAATGTGACCTGAGGGTTTTAAGCTGAAATAAATCCTTTCCTCCCCAAGTTGTTTATGGTCATGGTGTTTTATCACAGCCATAGAAAACTTAACTAAGACACATGGTAAGTTGGAAACAGGTCTCAGAATTCCAATCTACTGCTTCTTCATTGACCCATATTGTGTCTTGATAACTCTCTGGGCCATGACACCGGCCTTTTGAATAATAATTTATCATTTTAAACTAAAGGGGAACAGTATTTTAAAGATAGGCATGAAGATACATTACTGCTCAGTGTCTTCCTGTTTAACAAGATTTGGGTTGCACATATCTACATCAGTAACACCAACAGTGTGCACATGTGTGTGTGTGTGTGTGTGTGTGTGTGTGTGTGTGTGTATCAGGGCATGTGTACACACATGGGTGACACTGGTTTCAAAGAGACATCAAGATCTTCTCCTGAACAGTGGGACAGCAATGTATATCCCAAGCAGCAGAGGTGTGACTTCTTTTGGTTAATGCATGTAGATAAATAAAGACACTGTCCTAGTCCTGATTTTAATTATCCTCCTTAGACAGGAGGATGTTGGAATAGCCTATGAAGTCTTACATTCTTCTGATGACTTCATCATGCATGCCCCTATTGATCCCAGGCTTCGAACTCTCACTTTCCACACAGTGCTAACCCTATAGACCTAGACACAAGACCTAGTGTGATAGCACTAGGTAAGAAAACCAATGTAAGCAGTTACCTTCTTTGGCTCCAAGGACCTGCATAGAATTAAAAAAGATAATGGTGAATAACTTCAGGTAACAGAAAATTTAACCTAAATTTTAAGAAAAAATTAACTGTACAGTGGGAATTTTGTTAGTAGAGTTTGGGGGGTGGAATTTTTGTTAGTACAGACTTTTAAGGAGATCTGCAAATAGTTTTCTAAAAGACAACATAAAAACCACAGTTTTATCTTCTGTATATGATGTATAGTTGGCTGACGATGTTAAAAGGTGGTTTGACTACTGGAGAACTGCACACTCATACATAGTTATCCAAGTCTTTAAAATATTTTTATTCTAACAGCTCTCTTGGGGAGACTCATTTTCTAAGAAACCAAATCTGGCCAAGTTACATATACAAGGATATGCATGACATTGTTCATTACAGTACCAGGGCTTTGGAAATAGTCTGCAGGTCCAGGTAAGTAAGAAGGGCTCATTTAGGGGCCAGGGAGGGAGCCACTTGGTGGCTAAGAGTGCTTGCTGTCCAGGTGTGAGGACCTGAGTTCCAATCCCTATCACTCATGTAAAAGTGGGGCATGGCCACATGTGCTTGTAACTGCAGCGAGGCAGAAGGAGGGCGCTGAGATAGGTGACCCTGGGAGCCCCTGGCAAGCGAGTGTAGCCAGACTGCAGCATTTCTGAGAGATCTTAAGGGAATAAGACAGAGAGCAACAGAGGAAGACACTTGACATCTTTCCCTGGCCTTCATGTGCACACACATGGACTTGCACACCCACGTATATACCTGCAGGCACACATACACATACACCAAACACACACACACACACACACACACACACACACACACACACACACACACACAGGGATTGTTCATTTTGGTGTTATACTTGGTTACTGAAATACTATGCAGACGTAGCAGATATCTGTGTGAAAAATAGAAAAGAATACACTATACACAGGTTGCGTGGGGGCTTGTTTTAAATGTACATATGCGTGCACATGCATGCACACAAAACAGGTTTAAATAAAGACTATGAAATAAGAGAGGTCGTGCTCTAGTATGAGGCTGTAATTACTTTACGTTTTTGAAAGTTTCATTTTAAAAAAATGAACAGAGCATACGTTTTGTTCTTAGATGCAGCTATTCCTCTTTCCAAACATTTCCTTTCTCTTTCTTTGATTAAAAGTGGTAGACTTCCTGAATGTGATGAGTCCCAGTATGTATTTCATTTCCCAGCTTAAACAGTCAATCCTCCTGCCTCAGCCTCCTATGTGATGGGATTGCAGGTATGTACCTCCATACCTGACTCTACCCTTAAACTCTGAAGAAGCAGAGAGCTTTACAGTGAGATTAGCATTTCACTACAAATAATTTCCCAAGTCCATTCCAGACATTACCTCTGCTGGGAAGTCCTAGGGAATCAGCGAGACAAGAAATTCATTAACTTGGGGGATGGAAATGTCATGATATAGCTTGGGAACCTCATGTAATAAAAATGTTCTGATTATAAATAAAATGGTACTTTCTTTTGTGGGCATAAGGAAAGCTTATTATACCTTTCATCAAAAATCCAAAGGACTGTGAAATCTAGGAATCATTGTTTTAGATAAGTTACAAGGTGGTACCTGTGACCAGGTTCCCAGAGTTACCCTGAGACTAACTGACCTTGAGCCCAGCTCTCTTGATTCATGTTGGCTTTGGAGACAAGAAACCCTTAGCAGCAGTTTGCTTAGAGAGGCATCCTATGTCTTGTTTGAAGCTAAGTGAAGGGCCTTTTTGCTTTAAAGACCTCAGCATCCCTGGGGTTCTGGAATGAGGGTATGTGTATTATGGATAGCAAATCAAAGCTAATCCATAGGCCAGGTATAAAGGGTAATGAATCCATTCTAAACGAGTGGTTTGAAAGTCTTCCCACTGAGCATTCCCCAGCAGTTCAAAGTGCTCAATCTGATGCGGCAGGAGTTCTCAGGCTTGTCAAAGGCAGTGGGAAGGAGACCTGCACACACCATGAAAAGCCTGCTTCTGGGAGGGCGGTTGCTTTATCTTGTTGGAGCCCAGCTGACTGTTTTGCTCGAGGGCTCCAAATCAAATACAATTAGAAAAGCATAGTGAAATCTCTCTAGCTGTTCTGCTTACGTTTATTTTTTTTCTGTTAGCAAACATAGTCAAGTGAGCTAGAAATGTTTTCTATCCCTCTCCCCTCCTTTCCTTTTTGACCTTTAAAAACTTATTTTCAGTGTCTGTTTTTTCGGGCAGAGCCACAGCTGTAAGGAGCAGATCAGAATGGTGGGATCCAAGGGCACAGCCCTATCTTCTGCCAGCTGGGGAAGCTCTACCAGCCAGCTTCTCCCTAGGCGTTCTTAACGTGTGAGTCATGACCCTTTAGGGGTCCCATACCAGATATTTACATTACGATTTATAACAGTAGCATAATGAAGTAGCAACAAAATAATTTTTTGGCTGGGGGGGGGGTCACCAAAACAGTAGGAACTGTATTAAAGGGTTGCAGCATTAGGAAGGTTGAGAACCACTGGCTTGGGGCTTTGTGAAAATTACATGGGACCCCGCCTGGGCCAACTTGGAGAACTAGAAGTTCCACGTGAACTTGAGTCAGGGCAGGTAGCCTGCAGTTTCCGCTGGAATAGATCCTTCTCTGCACCACACAACCAAGCAAGGGCTTAGTGTACTCACAAGCATGGCCTTTGCCCTTCCTAATGGGCCTTCATACTGGAGAAATGGCCTTCAGTTGCAGCTCAGACAAAAATAGGAAAAGACCATGGCAAATTGTAAGAATGTAAGAAGTGTTTAAACTAAATCTGGCTATTAAGATGATACCAAGTTCTAGTGGAAGGCAAAAAAAAAAAAAAAAAAATTATAAAGAAAGTAGGCAGCCTCCTGTTTTCCCTGCTGCCTAAAGTGATCAGAATCTTGCTTGATACAGAGATAATGCATAAAATTTACTAGACAAAATAGCTACTTACCTTACCAAAGTCTTTTGAGCTGATCTGCCTGCAAGAAGGAAAAAAAAAAGAAAGAAAGAAAAAAAAGAAATAGGGTGTTAAATAAAAGGCAATTTATCATGGGCAAGATAAAATCATTCTGAACCTTATAAACCTTTGATTACATTTTCATGGCCAAATTAACAGCCCATGGTCCAGTGTGAATTCATCACTGTCCTATAAAACTAAACCAAGCTATTTTTCTTGTAATTTTCTAAGGGAAAGGAGAGGCGCTAAGCCTGTATGCAAGCTGGTGAGTGGGGGCACATGGACGTGTTCGTTTCTCATGTTAGGGGTGTTGGTTTTAACGACACTCTTACCCTGTGAGGAAAAGTCACAGAACACAATAAAACCTACTAACAAGAGTTTTATTAAGACAAGGAGAAAGGGATAGATGTGTTCAGGCCTGCTGAAAGGACACGAGAAAACGAGGAGGGAGGGGACATGGGATCCGCCTTTTAAGGATCACCCCCCTGCATGCGCACACAGGCCCACATGGCTACTCCACGCATGTGCGTAGATCACATGGTCACACTGTGTAGTGATTTACGTGACCATGCAGTGCATGGGTTACGTAGGACTTATGACCCAGAAATGAGTAGGCGGAAATGACTAAGTGTCCCGCCTCTGGGCATGTGTGATCATGGGGACATGGCTGGAATTCCTATCAAGGGGGGCTTGAGTCACTCCCTCTTCTTCCTGACACCTGAGCTTCCACAGCAGGTTTCATTCGCTCCCTTTGCTTAGCAAGCTCTCAGGTTTTCACTTTGAGAAAGGGAGTTTTAAATACAAAGCTGTCAGGGGCACCGAGATCCCAGGAAGGTGATGAAGAGAGACTGAGACAGAAGAGAAGCTGTGAAAGTGAGTGGAAAGGAGGGAGCTCAGTATGGGCGTCTGACTGTGTGGTTATTGAATGAGTTGCAGAACAGACATCAAGCATTTAATATGTGGACAAGCCTGTAGCACTCATTTGTGTATGGGTTTGAGTGTGTGTGTGTGTGTGTGTGTGTGTGTGTGTGTGTGTGTGCGTGCACGTGCGCATGTGTGTGCACACATGCACATGTGGAGGTCAGAGCTTGGCACTGGAGTCTTCCTCCATTACTCTCTTACCTTAGCTTTTGACACAGGGTCTCGTGGAATACTATTTTAACTGGACAAAGATTTGTTCATGCTGTGGAATATTACTTCAACTGTCTAAAGGTGTGTTACATTTGCTTATGCTGCATTTGTTTTAGCAATGTGAGGATGTGTGTTTAATTATGTAAAGATGTGTTGCATTTGTTTTCCCCTACCTAAGGCACACGATTGGTCTAATAAAGAGCTGAATGGCCAATAGCTAGGTAGAGAAAGGGTAGGTGGGACTGGCAAGGGGAGAGAAGAAACAGGAGAACTCTAGGCTCAAGAGAAGGAGAAGAAACGGAGGAAGAAAGAGAAGGACATGCCTGAGGCAATAAGTTAAGCAGCCACTGCCAGCCAGACATGAGAAGCAGTGAAAGTAAGACATACAGAAGGAAAAAAAAGGCAAAAAGCCTCAAGGCAAAAGGTAGATGAAGAGAAATAGCTTAATTTTAGTTAAAGAGCTAGCCAGAAAAGAGCCCAAGCTAGGCCGAGCATTCATAACTAATAAGAAGTCTCTGAGTCACGATTTGGGAGCTGGTTGGTGCTCCCCCCTCCCAAAAGAATAAACACCTGGTTCAGGGTCCCTCATTGGTTCTGCTAGATTGGTAGGCCTGTGGGCTACAGGGAATCTGTTTGTCTCTGGTCTCTCTCCCCAGTGCTGGGGTTATAGGCCTATCTGCTGACACAGCAGGCTCTGTATGTAGGTGCTGGGGATCCGAACTCAGATCCTCATGCTGTGTTTCAAGCACTTTATCTCCTGAGCATGGGGAAAGTTTAGCTTGCTGGGGTTTGAACCTGCATGGCCAGCATTTACAAAAGCATTTCAAATATTTAAGTGGATTTAACTGGCTCTGTAAGCAAATCTTGCTCTCTAAGATTCCTTACACTCTTTTGCCTGATTTCATTTATGTTTGTAGGACAATGGTGGCTGCCCTGTAAGATAAAGCCCTCAATGTTGAATAAATCACTGATATATCTCACAAATTGAATGGGGCTCCAAACCTCTAACTTTTATTTATTCTCACAGAATGGCAAAAGCATTCATCCTGGCGGGTTATTTGAAGAACCATTGGAGATGAAAATAAGAATCTATAGCATCCAGTGGGTGATAATGGTACATTGTGGGCAGAGTGGTGAGCAAGCCAGGGAGGAAGTGGGGTGAGGGTGTATTGCCCACCTACCTGAGTGTGTGAGTGAAAAGAAGAGAGAGTGCTGGGAGGTTAGGATGGCATTGCCAATCTCAGTGAGAAAGCTGTGAATCTAGACCTTTGGAGTTGGATAGATCAGGCAGCCTGAGTGTCTTAAGTCTATGGCACTCCCTGGCTTCAGAATATGGTGTGCTTAGGTCACGTCCAAGAGAATTAAAGCCAAAACACTTGCACAATATAGTTCATAGCTACATTATCCATAATAGTCAACAACGGAAAGCAGGGACCTGTGAGGCCACTTAATAGGTGCATGGACTAGAGTGTTTTCTGTTCGCTCCCTAATACCACATACACCAGGCATGTAGTTCAGGCCTGGAATCCCAATACTGAGGTGGCAAATGCAGGAAGTATGTGTCAGGGCCAGCCTGGGCTACACAAGACTGAGTCTAAAAGCAACTTCCTCAGTCTTAAAGTCATACCCAGTCCTGGTGGGATGGGCACATGAAAAATAAGAGATATGAGTGGGGATAATGAAGTAGAACTGATACCATACTCTTAATTATTTTGTGGTTAAACTGAGGTTAATCTCAGTGTTTTCAATGCTTGAGATTCTGGTGTGTCAAAGATGTGGTCGGGCTGACTTAATTTAAGATGTGACTGTGCAAAGTACATTATATACTTGCATGCAAATGGATTTATGTGACCCCATATAATGATTTGTTTTTTAATGCAGAAGCTGAGCCTGGAGAGATGGCACAGTGGTTAAGAGTATTTGCTCCTTTTCCGAGGGCTCAAATTTGGTTCCCAGCACCCACAATCATTGGGTGGCTCACAGCTGCCTGTAACTCCAGTTTCAGAAGTTCTCATCTGATGATTCTGCAGGAATCTGAATGCAAGTGATGCACACACACACACACACACACACACACACACACACACACACACACACACACATAAATCAATGAGAAAAATGCATCTTAAAATTGTAGAGGTGATTTTTAGAATTGTAGTTTTAAGTTACAGTACTCATGGCATTAGCTCTGTGAAGAGTATCAATCAACGGGGTGGGAGTTGCTGAATTTTTCCATATTTCCATATTGACTTTATTAGACCTACAAAAAGGGTGAAGGGAAATTTGGTTTGCTAGGATTTGAACCTGCTCAGTCAGCATGAGCAGTATTCAAAAGTCAAATACATCCAATTTACAAAGGCTTTTCAAATATTCAAGAGGATTTCACTGAGTGTATATGCAAATCTTGCTCTCTAAGATTCCGTATGCTCTCTGGCTTGACTTCAGTTATATTTGTAGGACAGGTGGAGTGGCTCTCCCGTTAGATAAAGTCCTCAATGTATAAATCACTGATGTATCTCACAAGGTGAATGGGGCTCCAGGATGGGTCAGCTTCGGGATCTTTAATGTTAATAAATTGAATTTTCAAGCAGAACCCCAGCATTTTCTAAGTCCTTTCTGGGTAGAGCAGGTAGGCACTCTGGTATCTGGATACATACTTGCCCATGCTCTAGCTGCCCAAGCTCGTCAATTAAAAAGTGGCCACAAACTTCATAGGAAAAGCTCTAACATTTGTCACCCATATAACAGGTGCATGGTATAATTTTAAAGACACTGCTATTTTCTACAATTGTGGACTTTCTTGAATATTGTTTAGTCTTTGGCTTAGTTTTGAATGGATAGGATTAGAATCCTTGCTGTGTCACCTATGGGCTCTGCCAGCCTTGATAAACTAAATTTTCTCCCTGAACCCCAAATTTACATGGTAAGGAAGAAGGTTGTTGAAAGTTCTACTGAAAAAAAAATCATGAATTTGTTTAGAATAAGACAGTGCTTCACATCTGTGGACACTCTGATGGTCACACTTGATTTCAATCTATCCTGAGATCGATGTAGGATGCCTAGTGTGGTCTAACATGATTCAGAGAGATGCCAGGTTTTTTCTGCCCATTTTCTCCTAATGGCAATGTCTTATAAAACTATAATAATAATACATATGATAACAATATTTATTAATAATATGTATATAATAAAATACATAATAACAACAACAATTTACTTTCATATTTTTAGTTTCCATTCATAAATGTGAACTGGTATATATCTGAAATCCATATTTTCTTTCTTTTAAAGAGCCATGCTTTTTTTTTTTTTTTTGATATTTATAAAGATTTCTTTCACATCCGAAATTATCATAGCATACTTTTTGGTGAACTGGATTCCTTGAACAGATGTGATCCCAGTGTGGTTGGTAGAAAAGGGAAAGCTCCAGCCAGTCTCCCAGGTGTTTCATGACCTAAATATGAGCTGCTTCATTTAAATGATGCTTTGGCTCCACCCCAAGCCCCAGCCCATTGAGTTCACTGCAATTTGATGGACACATCATGGTACAACGAGCACAGTATTTCTGTGCTCTCCGTATTACGGGGTGCAATAATATGGCCTTCCACATGGTGTGCCTGCCTGAGGAAATACACACAGAAGCCTCCACAAGGGGCTGGAAACATGCAGTGCTTTCTAGGCATGTTCAAAGGCCTTGGTTCAATCCCCAGAACACACATAAAAAGACTCCACATGGGGCCTGGGTGCAGGTAGAACACAGAACAATGTTGATTAATACTCAAGATGATGCTGTTTGTTGTGTGGACAGTTGAATGAAAATATCAGTGAATCCACAGCCATAAAGTTAGTCCCCTTTGAGTTTTCTTTAAGGTTATGTCAAGGGGAGGGTCTGCCTATGTGGATTAGAAAGTCCCAAATGCCTATTCAACATGCGCTGTCTTCCTTTGTAACAGAAAGACATTTTTTTCTGGGTTCAAAGTTCTGACTTGAAACAGCTTGCATTGCAGTTGTTTATGGATGGGATGTAAGTCTCTCTCTTGAGAAAAATTATTTTAATTGGAAAAAAATAAGTTGAGCAAAAAAAAAAAAAAGTACATGGATATTGTCAGTTTTGTAGCATTAATTGTTGAAAATATCCAGTCAGTGTTTCTTACAATGCCAAGTTCTCCTCTAGTGTTTGGTTGTTAACAAGATCCTAAATGACATTGTCCTTCACTGAAGGGCTCCCACCCAGCATTGTTTTGTGAAGTCAAGACTTAGCTGTCAAAGAGAGTGTGGTAGAGCTGGGAGAGACAAATGGGGGCCTGACAGACAATAGCTGGAACCACACCCACCGTCCACACTGAGCAAAGGCAGTGGTAGAGGCCACACTACATTGCCTGCAATTTTTGCCCTAGGAGCCAGAACTCACAGCCTCTGCCTTTGGGTACCTCTTCCCAAGTGCCTTACAGAGAAGCTGCTAGAAAGAGAGGCAGGGCACCCTGTATAGTCCTTGCTGATGCTCAGAGTTCCAGGGCTCTGCTTTGCTTACACAGCAGTGGCCTCACTGTTTATGTGTGACCTGACTCACCAGTAATGCTGTCTGGCTACTCATGAGGGCCCGAAAGGAAGTAAATTTGAGAGCACTGCTCTTTTCCTGCAGTAAAACCTCTTGTTCATGGCCGTGTCCCCAGTTTCCTCTGGGACTTTGCCTGTGTGCACCTCATCAAGGTGCCCACCTGGCTTGCTTTCTGAACTACAGTGATTTATGGATGTAACATTTACCGAGACTATGTGCCATCTGCTGGCCTGATCACCTGTTCTCAACCCTGGAAAATCATCCTTTTCAGCTCTGCTGGCAGGAGTCAATGAGATCACACGTATTTGTTCTTTAGAGCTGTTTGTGATGGAAAGATCTTGTCCAGGTCTAAACATAATGAAGTAAATATAAACTATGTTCTCAGGGACCCCAGAAATCCATGGGACCCAATAAAGAGACAATATCAGAACTGGAAAAATAAAATTTTCCACTTAGAAAATTATTTTTTAAAAAAGATGATTACTTTTTTTTATGTATGAGTATTTTGCCTGCATGAATTTATGTGCATCACACGAATGTAGGAAGCCCCCAGAGGCCAGAAGATGGCATTAGGTTCTCTGGAACTGGAGTTTACAGATGACTGTGAGCCACTATGTAGTGCTGGGAAATGAACTTGGATCCCCTATGAGAACAGTATAAGCTTTTAGGTATGAGCTCTTAACTGCTAATCCATCTCTTTAGCTCCAGGAAACTCTTAATGAAATAATCCAATATGTTAAAAATGTATCAAAGCTCCATGACCAAGAGACTTAGTACAGAGACTCATATGACCCACTGCAGAGGGACTCTACAGAAATCAAGGGCATTATCCCAGACATTGGAAACCAAAGCATGATGGAGGGAGAAAGGAAAAACAACAGTAAAGATATCTAAAAAAGAAATAAGGATTAATACTATTAACTAGCTACCTAAAAATATTTATAATGCATGTAAATCAGCATGTAAAAAGTCACATATAGTTTAAATACAAATTTTTCATCTGGGATGACAATGCCCCCTCCAAGAGCCAAAAGCCATCTAATAAAAACCCCAGCACCAGGTGTGAGAAACTGTCTTTTGAGTTGTTGGTCAGGGTTGTTCAAGAGGCTTCTAAAATATTACAGGCTGTTGCTATTGCCCTCTGTTGACCCTCAAAGGTGGAAAGGAAGTTCCTGTTGCTGAAGACACCATGGACTTCAGATACAGAGCCCAGAGGCTCTTGACATGGCACTGACCTCAATACCTCCTCCCTGAGGATTAGCTTTCATAGTGTGAGAAGGCACCATGCAAGCTTCCAAAAGAGGGAAGCAACCAACAGTCCTACCCAACTGTGATGCCTATGGACCACATCAATGACCACCATGGCATAATAACCCTAAGGGTGCAGTAATGGCACACATATCTTGGTGGTAACCAACAGTTCTATAGTTGGACTTAAGACCCAGTAAACAAGAGGGAAACCATATCTGACACTAGAAACCCAGTCAACCACCCAAGACTAGTGAGCTAATGGGTCTGGGAGGAAAGCCATAATCCCTAATGCCTTCCAAACATTTGTCCTTCTGCCCATAGATACTTGTAATCCTCATCCTTTACCAAGGAAATGTCTCATTGCAACAGACAGAGACCACTACAGAAAACCACAACCAATGTAGAGTTGAGAATCCCAGTCCCAGTGACTACATCTACAGAAAAATCCCTCACCTAAGGCTCAGGGAACATTGAGGAAGAGGGGATAGAAAGACTGTGAGAGCCAGAGGATCAGAGAGTTTGCTGTGAGATTGTGTCTCCTACGAATGTCAGAAGTTACACCCATAAAGTCCCACTGACATGACTTCCTAAACATAATCTGAGTAAGGACAACAACAATAGATAGAACAAAGTGGATGGGGTGGGGGCAGAGGAGATCACATGGCTTCAACACTAGCCAAAGAACTATAGGAAACTAAGAAATTCTGAGAGTGGGAGAAATAGTCTTCCTCAGGGAAGATCACAGCAACTTGTTACCCCAAACCAAATGGTCAGCCCAGAGAAAAATGTACAACAAGTAACATTATACAAACTGAGCAGGGTATATTTCCTATGCATATGTGAATGTAACAACAGTTAATAAAAAAGCCATGCATTTGAAACAGAGGAAGGGTACATGAGAGGGTTTGGAGGGAAAAGAGCAATGACGAGTGATATAATAATATCTCAAAAAATAAAAAAAAAAACAGTTGAAAAAAGTCTTTTTTGGTCATGATCTTTCATCCCAGCAACGGAAAAGTAACTAATACTATGGGTATCTTTGGAAGCTGCTGCAACTACTTACTTAGTTAACATCTACTGCTGTCCATATCAGGCACTGTGCCAAGAAACGTGAACACTGAAACTGGTTAAACTTTCCCTTTTGAGTGGATGTGGCTGGCTAGAGTCTTGGTATACCATAGGCAGAGAGAATGGCAAGGGCAGACAGATTAAAAATAAAATCTATTCCATGCTATGGCTCATCGCCATAATTTTAATCTGTGCTGTTGAATGCTTCATGGGAGTCAGTTCTCACATTAGCCTATGGGGTGTATGGGAGGCAACAGAGTACTCTTCTTTTACCAGTCCTTGGCTTCAGGAAAGGTCTACACAGTATGTTGCTGAACATCCTAAGGCATGATCCAGTGCCCTTTGTGATGGGCTCTGCTGCCCACTGTGGAATGCCATGCAGCCTCCCTGCCTCTCCTCCAAGTGTTCCCAACTCCAAGTTTCTCTAGATATCATGGACTGTCCCCATCCAGAGCAAGAATAAACTCACCTACAGTTGAGAACAGCTGCCCTAAACCTGTAACCTCCAGTGCCTGCCTGCCAACACCCCACTTCCTCCAGCCAGACTCTAACTCCCCAGCTTATGCAAACAGTGCTGGGTCATAAGAAGCAGAATTTCTACCCAGGATTTTGGAGTTACTGAGGAGATCTGTGTTCTTTCCCAGGTGCTAGGCTAAGGGACATGGGGACAGATGGAGAGGACTGTCCAGATGAGAAAGGGTGCTTTGCTAAGGAGTTTGTGTGGGTCTATGGAGGAAAAAGAGGACAAGCAGACAGTCCAGGATAAGGGGGAGACTCAGAATTGGAGTCATCTAATATCTCTATCAGAACCAGAAACAAGAAGGTTTTTTTACAGATGCTCAAAATGGCTTGAATTTCAGTATTCCCAAGGCACCATTCTACCTAGTCATGCCCCTGTATCAGCAGCCTGCTGACTCAAGCCTTCCATGAGAAAGCCTCATTTATCTCGAGCCAGGGGAAGGAGAGGCACACTCCATCCTCCCTTCCAAAATAAGGGACTTTTGGAAATCCACTATCTTGAAGGAACATTCCTGACACATTTGTGATTAGTGTCAGCGTACACTCCCCTTGCTGATGGAGGACTGGCAAATCTGTTTGTCAGCTAGGCAGTGGTGTTTTGGGCAGAAGGGTGTTTAAGCTTGGGTATGCCCTCCAGGCTAGATGTCTGGCGGCTAGCAAGGGGAATGTCCTGGGTTGCTTCTGGAGTTTTCTAGACTCAAAACTGATTTCCTGATTTTTCTCCTGGCATTTTCTATTTTCTATAATGACCAGTTCAGGTCTTAAGAGAGCATTTCTGTCAATGACTTATCTTTTTGTACAGAGTTGTGTTTGCCATGAGGAGTCAAATACAGGTTCCTAAGTCCATTTCCCCTCTAGGCATACTCCCTCCTGCCCCCGCCACCCAGTGGTGTGGAAATCAGAGAGGTGATCTATTTGGTTTCTCTCATCTCCCTCCCATTAGCTGACCCTTCTACTGGTCATTCACCATGATAGTGGTAAGTGTCTCACCTGAGCCCCCTCTGGACTTCTGGAATGATATGTCTCGGAGGAAAGTGTGCACTGATCTCTGGTGGTGCTGGAGGTAAGGGTTGATACTTCTTGGGGAGGGTGATGGCGGGCCTGTGGGAAGAGTCACAGGCGTAAGGACTGAGGAGGTTTTTAGTCATGCCTTTCTCAGACAGTGAATTTACTCTGGCCCCCTCCCTCTGCTCCTCTGCTGTGGGCTTGAAACTCAAGTGTGGAGGATGTTGTCTGCAGCCTGGACCATTCTAGGTGTCTTCAAGTCTTAGCATCCTCACTCTTCCAGAGTACTGTGCTCTGATACTCAGCATTCTGTAGCGTGTACAACAATTTCCTACAAGTGTCATATGCTTTTCAATATGCCACCCATTTGGACTGTAGGAGGCCTGGGAAAAAGAGAATAATGACCTCCTGCTTATTCCACACTGGATGACCTGAGTTTCAAACACTCCCCGGCAAGGATCATGAAAATGTTTGCAAGTCAATCAAAGCCAGTCTCGCCCCTTTTCTCACGAAGTGCATCGTGTGGCTTGGTGGATGCTGGAGGAACAAAAGGAAATAAAGTAGACACAGTCCTGGGCTCAGGAAGCCCCCACTCCATGCAAGGGAAGAGTCAGGAGTGAAGTGATGGACGTGCTTGGCTGAGGGACACAGCGGTCTCAGTAGAGCAAAGGCATTCTCCAACCCACTCAGAGCCCCGGCAGGCCCAGTCTGCAGCTCTCACCTCCGTGTGTATAAATATAGCAATAATCAGCAGGACTATATGTTATATATAAACATACGGACTTACATGAACATATGTTTATACATTGTAAGTCCTTAAATTGTAAGTCAATTTATGAAAATTCAAATTTCTGGTTGATTATTGACCTGCTGATTTCTATGTTGTGTTGAGTCTGTCTTGACCTCATGAGTCTGGGCAGCTAGATGTACCTACAACATGCTCTGTCTGATTTTGTTTTTTGATTTTTTTTTTATTATTTTATTTTATTTTATTTTATTTTATTTTATTTTTTTTTTTGCTAAAGAAAGGAACATACCATGTTGGTAATTAGGGAGCGAGATTCTGGAAAGAAGGAACAGCAAGTGTAGAGATATTGTTGCTAGAAATGGATTTGGGGGATGGATAACTTCATGGTAATTAGGTTGTGGTCTATTGTTAGGCTCTCTAACATTGCCTGCTACATGCATACTTGACCAGCTTGGTCTTGGGCTGGTAGGATGGCTCGGCAGGTAAAGGTGCTTGATGTCAAGGCTCAAGACCCATGTTTGATCCCCAGGACCCACAGCGTGGAAATAGAGAATCAACTCCCATACATTGCCCTCCGGCCTCCCCATGTACACTGTGGCTGGTCACACTAGCCACCACAAATAAGTAAATGTAGAAAACAGACGTGACTTGTTTCAAAAATCAACACTAAGAAAGGTAAGTGCCGGAGAGAGGGGTGCCGACAGCAGCGGGGCTGACTGATGATGCCAGTGAGTGGAGGCTGGCTGGCTGTTATCCACAGACCAGCTCCTCCAAGGCCAAATGTGTGTGCTTCTCTTTTGCAGGAGCTGGCACAAACCCTTCAAGTTTGTGACAAGAACATACATTTTAAAAATTTATTTTATGCATCTGAGTGCTTTGACTGTGTGTTGTCTGTGCACTGTGTTCCCATGCACAGGGCCCGTGGAGGCATCAGATCCCCTGGGATTGAAGTCACAGGTGGTTGTGAGCCACCATGTGGGTGCTGGGAATCAAACCTGGTTCCCCTGAAAGAACAGTCAGTGCTCTTGACCTCTGAACCATCGCTCTGGTCCCACAAATATGATTTTAAATGTCTTACCGTGGAGGCGGCACAGGAATCTGCAAAAGGAAAGAGAACCAGGAGTTAAATTTGCTGTTCTTGGGCAGAGCCAGTGGTTAGGAATGTTTTGGTTTACAAATGGAAATGGAAAATGAAGACTGAAACCCTAGGGCACACTTTAGAGAGTAACAAGTACATTTTAACATTTTTCACTCACCTTGTTCACCTCTGTGTATTTGAATCCTAAAATATAAGATGGAAAAAACAGTGAACCCCATGGGAAATATCATCAAATACTCTTACATATGCTTCTATGGAAACCACTCCTATATTTAACAAGATTGATGACATTGATAATGATGCTTATTGGGATCTAGCCAGTTACCCGGCCTGATGCTGAACAGTTTAGTTTGGGGGATCTTATTGTATTCTCACCCTGGCTAATGGAAATGATGAGTCCGAGATGTGGGGAAATTTAACACCCCACAAGCAGATGTCACTGTGAGTGGTGTGACTCTCAAGGACCTCTGTACATCACCCTCTCATCATCCATCTTGTTGCTCCTTGGAAACCACCTTGCGCTTCCTGCTATGTGCTTCCATAAGTTTTGTCATTTCAAGTTCCTCTCAGTGACAGCATATAGAGTTTCATCTGGATATGTCTTGTTTCACCCAGCATGATGTCCTCCAGGCCTATCCACGTGGTCACAGATGGTAGGCTTTCCTTCTTGTGGGGCCGAATAAAACTCCAGTGAATCTATGTATACCGTCTCTTTACTCAGGCTGCTTTGTACAGACAGATGGCTCCCATGCTTTGCTTTGTGGATAGTGCTTGGGACTTGGAGTGGAGACAGCTCTTCAGGATCCTAATTTCAGTGCCCTTGATGGATATTACAAGTGGGATTCCTGAGTCACAGGCTGGTTCTAATTTTAGGTTCTAGAGGAAATACTAAACTGGTTTCCCAGATGGCTGTGCCAACTTGGGTTCTCACCAACGGTGGGCACTGCCTGCACACCTTGTAATGCCACTCTAGATGGGGCGCTCATGCTTGTAGCATCATTCCTCACTCCAGGAAGCTGGTGAGGGGCTTTTGTGCTAAACACAGCTGATCTTTCTGACACCCTGTCTACATACCCTGTGTCTCTATTAAAATGTTGGTGTTTCTCTAGCATTGTTTAGTACTCTCTCTCCTCTCTTAAAATTTTAGTTGTAATTCTATCAACAATAGCAATGAACTACAGATATCCAACTTGTGGCCTGGGGCTGCCTGGGGCTCGGGATATCTTGTTGGGTTGCAGTGTTAGGCGATGTAAATGTTAACTATGCACCCACAAGCCATGAGCTGCAGATTGAACACGGGTTTCCTGCGCAGCTCTAGACAATGAAATTTTCTTTGCCCTATGTGGCATAGAAAAACCAAAGGCCTGGACAGCCCTACACTCTGTCAGCCACAACAGACATGTATGCTAACAAACCATCCATGCCGAGAGGCTGCCCATGCCACTGGTTTAGATATCAACATTTCACAAGGGAAGTGGTGTGGGTGACCTTCAGGGTAAGCAAACAGGACCACACAGGTGAAGTAACTCATCACATAGCTGTCGGCTTTTGTGGCAATTAGACTAAAATCCAGCCAGGTTCTTGGTCTTCCATTAGGGGGCCTTGTTTAACGAAGTGCTAACAGGTCAGGTATTTGCAATAATGGAAAAGAAAAAAAAGATAAGATTCGGAGTGGAATCTTTTTTTTTTTCAGACTGACCTTTGAAATTTGTTTTTAGCAGTGCACAGATCAAACTCAGGACTTCGAGTCATGCTTAGCCAGCATTCTTCTCACCCAACCACACCTCCAGACTGACCTTGACTCCTATATTCACTATGGGGTCAGTAAGTAGTAATGAAACAAACTCCTGGACTTAGGGATGGGTGATTTCTTATACTTACCCAACACTTATATGTGGGATACATGAATTAGAGCATGTCAAGGCATGTTTCCTGTTTTAAAAAATAATTATTTGTTAAGAGCTTTGAGGCATAGCTTCTAATGCACACTTAGTTTCTACTGTGCAATGGGACATTAGAGAGGGGATGTCTCGTTACTTTGCTGACAAAGCCCAGATGTTCTCCAATGCTGGGAAGGGTTTCCTGTCAGTCAGACCAGAGGACCCTCGGGGTCTTCCTTGAAGACTTTCTCCTCCTAGCGAGAGGAGGAGGCTTTTCACTGGGAGGCGACTGGCATGTCTGCCCTCTGGTGGCCAGTACTGTAATCAGTACTATCTGCCAAGAGAGACTGGTCCAGCCCTTTTCAATGTTTAGTGCTCCCATCACTAGCCAGGGGCTTGTGTCTGGAGAGGTGACTGGGCGAGGGAGCGGAGCACAGCTGTGGAAGCTAATGGACCTGGACTTGACTATTTTAGGGCCAAACCCTGAAGAATCTAAGGATACAGTGTTATGTGGCATTGAAGCTGTGCTTCTTGGAGAAGAGGATGTTTTATAGGTCTGTTTGAAATGTGCAGGAGCGGCTTGTACTACACTGTAAGACCTGGTTGTTAAATGGGCAAGGATTTTTGTAAGCTGGTTGTTAAATATAGACATCGTTAAAAATACATTATAGAATTGTACAGTTAAGTCATATCAAAACAAAGATGAGGAACAGCAACACTTCGCTTCCTGTGAGTTTGCTATTATAAGTCAGTCCCATTGAGGTTATTTCCCATGCTATGAAATGGCAGCTCTTCCAATTCTATACTCATGAGCACTCTGGTACTTGAGGATGGGCATGCTGGGAGTGTTTCCTTCCACTAAGGAAAATGTTGCAGAATCAGAGAACTCATTGTTTTGCCATTTGTCCAGACTTAAGACAGTTTCAGAGAAAGTATTAACCGAGCATACCCTACTTATAGTTGTATAATGTTCGTAGGCATTATGTTCTGAAGAGCAGGCCTAAGGAAACACGTGCCTAGAAAACTAGTTTTCAGCTTAGCTAAGAAATGTTTCATGTCGTTATACCCTGGAAGATGTGATTTAGCTGTGGATGCAAGAGCTTGGCAAAAGCCAGTCAGAGCTGGATGTGGTAGCTCATGCCTGTCATCCCAACACTCAGGAGTGGGAGGCAGGAGGACCTTAAGCTTGAGGCCAGCCTGAGTTGCAGAATGAGCTCAGGGGCAGCTGGGCTACCCAGCAAGACCCTTAAAAACAATGAAACGAAGACAACTGGCCCTATGAAATCGGGATAAGGGATATTTTCTCTCTCACTCTTACTTTCCAAGTGTACATTATCTATCTGTCCACGAGTAATACATATAGTGACTTCAGCTGCATATGCATTTGAATTCTCCTCTTCGGATACCTGACTGTTTGGCATCTCCCAAGGCTTGGGATTGAGTTTTGCTGTTACCATCAACAAGCTGAGCAACTCGACACCAACGGCTTGGCCTCTCTGGGCTTCTTCTCTCCTTATCTGTGATTTTTAAAAGACGAGGAAACAAGACTCACAGGAGCCAAGACCTTGTTCCTTAATAGAAGACACAAAGCAGAGTGGCCACAAATGGGACCTGTGAAGTCACTCAAGTTGAGTGTCAGTCTGTCACTTACTGAGCAGCCTCAGTGACTTAAAAGTTAAAATGCAGATTGTGAAATCTAATTCCTTGGGGTTTGAGGAGTAAATAAAGTAATATTTAGTTTGCACCTAAGCCAGTGGTTCTCAACCTGTGGGTCTCGATCCTTTGGGGGTGGAACAATCCTTTCACAGGGGCTACCTATCATCTATCCTGCATATCAGATATTCATGTTACAGTTCATAACAGTAGCATAATTACAGCTATGAAGTAGCAATGAAATGATTTTATGGTTGGGGGTCCCCACAACATGAGGAACTAACTGTGTTAAAGGCTTGCAGCATTAGGAAGGTTGAGAATCCCTGACCTAAGCTTCCATCCAATTCGTGCTGAGCGCAGGTGATACTAGTTACCCCTGGAGTGTACAAATGCAAACACTCCCAGAAACAGAGCATCCGTGTCATGTTCTATAATTACAGAAATGGACTTGGAAAAAAAAAAAACAAGATAAAACTTGGCCTCAACCACAAAATTTATCGTGTCTAAGGCTTTTATGACCATTAGCATTTTGTGTCTTGATGATTAATTATGGAGGAGTCCAGAGAAGCGACTTAAACAATCTCAGTGGCTGGTAATATCCACTTGGCAGGGCCTGTTGGAGAAGCATCTTCAAGTCCATCATAACCTTCAGAAGTTAATTGCAGCAATAAATTACTGAAGCCAGCCTTGGGGAAGCAGTGGGAAGGGATCATGTTAGGCGAAGCCAAGATTGTTGCAGGAACCTATTGGCTCCTACATCCCCTTGGATAAAATCAGAAGGTACCACGTGTAGGAACAAGCATTTCAACAGCTTTCAGGTTTGGGACCAGTGGGGAAAGTGAGATGGAACAATTCCTCCAGCCCAAGAAAAGTGGGCAGGCAGGGTGAAGTGACGGACAAAGGCTAGGCAGGGGTGGCATGCAGTCACAAAACACTAGAGAACACGGACTTCTGGTTCCACAGCTGAGGTGTGAGGGTCCAGTGAAAGGACAAGATGCAGCTGGATTTGGAAGCACAGACAGAACTTATCAGAACTTCTTGAGTTGCCCCTTTTCTGGTCCCCACCTAAAGAGACTATGAGGTACTGGATCATCCCTGGGTGGTCCTATGACGCCAGTCAGGGTGAGGGTGTTTATCTATACAGTGTTAACACAGGCCAAGTCATAGAAGGAATCTCATAAATATTTTCCACATGACCACCATGTGTCCAGCATGGTGCCACATGTTTGCTGTGGGGAAACGATAAGTCGTGAACCGTGGTCTCTGTGACTGAGGCCTCTGGCTCACTTTTTAATCAATTCAGCCATAACAGATTTACTTGCATGCTAGAACCCAAACTAGGTAGATAGGTGATGGTTTTAGCCTGCAGAAGGAGTCAGGGGAATGCATAAGGGGCAGGGATCCAGGATGGTTAGTGCAGATCAGCACCAGAGGACCCCCATCATCACAGTGCTGTGGGTTTACCATTGGTTGTTGCTCCTGAAACCTTCCTCAAACGCCTTGTCATGTAGTATTGTTGATGTGAGAAATTCAGCTTAGGTTCCTGAGTTACTTTAGGTCTTCTAGCTGAGAGTAGTACAGTCAGGATTTGAATCCAGGACCAACTGTCCCCAAATCCAGTGTATAGCCAGCTACACTGAGGCTTCTAAG